GTTGCATCCTTTTATGTTGCATTTGCTTAGTTCTGTAAAACTGTGTTACTTTGCCTGCCTAAAACACCTGGTTGGTCAAATAAAGAGCGGAGTGGTCAATAGGTAAGCAGGAGAAAGGGTAGATAGGTCTGGCATGCAGAGGTAATAAATAAATAGGAGGAGCAATTAGGCTATAAAAGAAGAGAGGGAAGAGCTAGAAAAGAAGAAGGAGTGGAGGATGCTAGGAACCAGCCACCCAGTCATACAGCCAGTCATGGAATAAGAAGGAAAGAAAATGCAGGGATGGTACAACATACAAAAATCTGTCAATGTAATCCACCATATAAAAAAAACTAAAAGAAAAAATAACTACATAATCATCTCATTAGATGCTGAAAAAGCCTTTGAAAAATCTAACACCCCTCCATGATAAAGGTCTTGGAGAGATCAGGGATACAAAGAACATACCTGTACATAACAAAGGCAATATACAACAAGCTGACAGTCAAAATCAAATTAAATGGAGAGAAACTCAAAGAAATTTCACTAAAATCAGGGACAAAGCAAGGTTGTTTACTCTGCATATCTACTCAATATAATTCTTAAGGTTCTAGCTAGAGCAATAAAGCAACAAAAGGAGATAAAGGGGATTTAAATTGGAAAGAAGGAAGTTAAACTTTCACTATTTGCGGATGATATGATAGTATACACAACTGACCCCCCCACACACATTCTACCAGAAAACTTCTACAGCTAATAACTACCTTCAGTAATGTAGCATGATACAAGATTTCCTAAAAAAAAATAAGATTCAGTAGTCCTCCTATGTACAAATGATAAATGTGCTGAGAAAGAAATCAGAGAAACAACAGCCTTTACAATAGCTACAAACAATATGAACTATCTTGGTGTAACTCTAACCAAACAAGTGAAAGACCTATATGACAAGAATTTTAAGTCTTTGTGAAAAGACATGGGGAAAAGATCAGAACATGTGTAAAGATCTCCTATGCTCAAGGATCAATAGGATCAACATAGGGAAAACGACAATCTTACCTACAGCCTACAGAATGGGAAAAGATCTTAACTAACCCCACATAGGGCAAAGGACTGATATCCAAAATATATAAAGAAGTCAAGAAACTATATATCAAAATACCAAAATAATCCCATTAAAAATGGTGTACAGATAGAGTGAATTCTCAACAGAAGAATCTTCAATGGCCAAAATAGACTTCTAGAACTATTCAATATCCTTAACTCTCAGGGAAATGTAAATCAAAACAACTCTGAGATACAATATCATACCTGTTAGAATGGCCAACATCAAAATACTAATGACAACCTGGTGTGGGAGAATTGTCTGTATTCTGTCAATCATATTTTAATAAAACTCTGATTGGCCAGGCAGACAGTATAGGCAGGAAAGCCAGACAAGAAGTAGGGGTAGAGCAAAGAGACTGGGAGTATTCTGGGAAAACAGGAAGCTCCCTCCGCCACTCCTGCACATACCACCAAAGCAGCAACATCTAAGCTGACTGCTGAAAAAGGTACCAAGCCCATATGGCTAACATAGATGAGAATAATGGGTTAATATAAGCTATAAGAGTTAACAAGAAACCTGAGCTAATGGGCCAATCAGTTTATAATCTTATGGAGTCCTGTGTGTGATTTTCCTCTGGGGCTTGCCGGCTGTGGGGTACTGGGTGGGACAGATACCCCAACAAGCCGGCCCCCTCATGTTACAACAACCTATGTTGGAGAAGATGTGGAGTAAGGGGAATATGCCTCCTCTGCTGATGGGAGTGCAAACTTGTACAGCCACTTTGGAAATCAGTATGGCTGTATCTTAGAAAATTGGGAATCAATCTACCTCAGGACCCAGCAATACCACTCTTGAGCATATAACCAAAGGATACTTAACCATACCACAAGGACACTTGCTCAACTATGCTCATAGCAGCATTATTCGTAATATCCAGGACCTGGAATCAATCTAGATGCCATTCACCTGAAAAATGGGTAAAGAAAATGGAATATTACTCAGTGGTAAAAAACAGAATGACATCATGAAATTTGTAGTTACTTCCCTTACCTCTGGCAAAAGGGATTATGACTCTCCAGTCATCAGATATCTGTGGCACCTATCAGCATACCAAGGTCCACATGAGCCTACAGGTTCCCTCCGTCCCTACACACGAGTACTTGTTGTACATTTCAATGTACCTCATGCCAGTCTCCTGACCCTTCCCTCCATGAAGCTACTTTTCTTCTCAAAACCCAGCAATTCTCACTATTATTGGCTCCTGCTCTTCTCACTATGCTCTCTCTATTCTCTGGCCCTTGTCATTCTCCCTTCTTGCACAAGAGCTTGACCTTGTAAATCTGCTGGCCCTATTCAAGCTACTTCTTTCTTCCTTTACTCTGGTCTCTTCTAGATGCTTCTGGATCATTTCTCTAAATCAAACCTTAACCATCTAGGCAGAAGACCTAGGTCAGACTCATGCAAGCTTCCTGATGTTGGCTCAATCTCTGAGTGCCACTATGGACCCAGGTTAGTTGATTCTGTGAATTTTCTTGTGATGTCCTTGACCCATCTGTCTCCTACAATCCTTCTTCCCCAATTTAGGAAGATTCTAGGAACTCTGCCTAATGTCCCCGAGCTCTGCGTAAAGTTTGGCTGTGGCTCTCTGAATTTGTTTCTATCAGTTGCTGGTTGACACCTATCTGATGACGATTATGCTAGGAACCTGCATGGGTCTGTCCTAGGTTTGCTGCATTTATGTTATGTTTGTGGAACTTGGTCTTTCTGTGGGAACAGGGGATGTTGCTCACTGTTTTGTCTTCTTTTGGGACTCTTCTTTCTCCTACCAGTTGCCTCATCTAGCCTTAATGTGAGGGTTTGTGCCAAGTCTTGTTGCAACTTGACATGCCAATTTGGCTGATATCCCTTGGGAGGCCTGCCCTTTTCTGAAGAGAAATGGAGGTAAGATGGGTGAGGTGGAGAGCAGAGGGGTGTGTGTGTGTGTGTGTGTGTGTGTGTGTGTGTGTGTGTGTGTCTTTGTATGGAGGACTGGGAAGAGAGGAGGTAGGGGAAACTGCAGTCAGAATGTAATATATGGGAGAAGAATAAAACAAAACAATCAAACAAACAAACCTTAACCATATCATGGAGTGGCCATGTATGTTGGCAGTCTCTTTACTGCACCTCCTCCTAAATATAAGGGAATTAAATAAAAGAGAAGAAATAATTTTACAGTTTACATAGATACATAACATGTTCTATGTTCTCTTTTTTACTCCGGGGATCTAAATTTTTATCTTAAATCATGTATCCCTAGCCTAAACAACTTCCCTTAGCACTTAGTGCAAAACTACCCTTATTCTTTGAATGTCCTTTCATTCAAAATGTCTTTATAGTTTTGTCATTCTTGATAAATGCTTGTATTGGTTAGAGAGTCCTTGAGCGAGATTTTGTTTGTTCGTCTCAGCTCAACAAGTGTTCCAATTTCTTTGTGGCCTCTGTGGGTTTGCATTAGAAGTTTGATATTAATGAAATAGTTATCCCTCTGCATGCAATGCTATTTTCTTTTACTGATTATAAGATCTATCATTTATCCATGGCTTTCAGCATGTCACAACAGGCTGTGGGAAAGGCTTCTCAGCTTTCATTCTGCCTAATGTTCACTAAGTATCTTGTAGGTGATTTTTGTCTCGTGTTTTTGTTTATGTTTTGGTCTGCAGTTGAGGACTAAAACCAGGGTTTTTCACTTGTTAGGCAACTGCTCTACCACTGAGCGAAACCCTGAACCATAGACACAGTGTGCATTCTTTCAGATTGCATTTTGTCGGCCAGAGGCAGGCATCTGATGTCCTACCCTGTTACTCTCTACTTTGCTCCATTGTGACAAGGTCTTTCACTGGACCTGGAGTTAGGTGGTGGCTAACAAGCCACTGTGCTTTTCCAGTCTTCAACTCCCACAGCCCTGGAGTAGCAGGTGCACCTTCTGCAGGACCAGGCTCTTAATGTAGATGCTGAGATACAAAGACAGGTTCTCCTGATTATGTAGAAACTGCTTTTACTCACTAAACCATCTCTCTGCTCCTTTTAATGATACATTCCTTTGGTCTATACATTCATTTGCTCTTTTTTCCTCTGGTAATTATTTGATAATTCTGTACAATCATTTTAAAAAATTCAATTACTGCAGGTTTTAGTCTCAACTTTTCACTGGGTTCTTTAACTTTCGTATTCTTTTATATTTTAGTCTCTCTCTCTCTTTCTGCATGTCTGCGTCTGCATACAATAACCATGGAGTCTCTCTCTCTCTCTCTCTCTCTCTCTCTCTCTCTCTCTCTCTCTCTCTCTCTCTGTGTGTGTATGTCTGCATCTGCATGCAATGACCATGGAGGCCAGAGAGTGTATTGGATATGCTGAAACTGTTGTTATAGTGAATTGTGAGCTAGCATATTATTAGTGCTGGGAAATATATCCAAGTCTTCTGCAAGAATAGCAAGTGCTCTCAACCTCTGAGTCATCTACCCAGTCTCCATTTGGTTCTTCTTGCACGTTCTATTCTTTATTGGGTCTATATATATACATAATACACAATATACATATATCCACATATATAAAAATATTGAGAGTATATTTTATTTAAAATAATGCAACAGCTGATTATATATTAACCATTGTCAATAGTATTATATTGGTATTTTTATGGTACAGAAATATAATAAAATTTTTAATACTAAAATCTAATAACCAACTCAGTGGTAGCTCTAGCATCTTGTATTTTTAGAGATGAATAGTTGATTTCCTTTTCTATGACAAATATTATCCATTTTGTTACTCTTCAATTATCAGATAGCTCTGTTTTGTCTATTTACTATTGTGAATGTAAAATTGTTGATATTATTAATTTTATCTTTAATTTGGGTTTTTTCTTCTTTTTGAATGAACATTAAAAGTGAATGCCAAGTGACAACTTGTTTATTGGGCAATATTCTGCTCATTTCAGATTCCGAGAGAGGGAGGTTTATCTGAAGCGATTTGAATTTGTTCTATTTCATCGTTAATTATCAGACTGGAAAAGTGTACAGGTAAAAATGTGGATCCTTTGTCTTTTTCTTCTGTGACTTTGCTGTTTCCAGTATCTAAACTTCATTTTATTTCAATTGACATGACTTCCTGTTCAGAGAGACTAAATCTTCAGCTAGCAACCCTGTCTGCCAATTAAAATTCCATAGGTTAAAAATTAAAAATGTAAAGAAAGGGTACTCGCCACCCTTTCTATGTATCCATTTCCTGTGTTTGTGTACTCATGGGAGGATCTGTTTGCTTTTGTTCTTCTTCCAGTATCTCTACGTAATTACTTTTTGTGTCATCTCCAAGACTGATAGTTTTCTTCATTGGAATTCCTAGCTTCTTATGCTGTCATTTTTGTAAGCTGATTAGTCGTTTTTTTCCTTTTAGTAATAATTAACATTATATATTTTCAGTAGCGGTTAATAAAACTAGAACTCATTAATTTTTTTATGCCTCTACTCTTCTCTTCCTATGCTGCTAGGAGTCATGTATAAAATTGTGATCATTTCAGCATTGGCCCTTTTCCTCATGGAAATTAGAAGCTAGTGGAGAAGACACGTGTTCAAAACAATGAAGATATAATACGTGTTGTCATAAAGTTAATTCTAGAGTGCCACAGAAATAAACAATGGGATGCCTTAACCTAACTCCACAGAGAAACAAAATTGCATTCCCCCAATGAGTTTTAAATCGAAACTCAAAGAAGGCATAGATGTTAAAGTTGCATAAATAATATGTAAGTTTCAATTTGTCTACTTATAAAAAGTATGGGGGACAAGGAAAGAAATTGATAAAAGTAAATAAGACATTAGAGGGCCAGAGTGGAAAATTAAATTCAAAAGTTAAAAAAACAAAACAAAACAGGAGATAATTATGTCCTGGAAAATTCGGTGACAGTGAGGGTTGAAATTCGGATGCTTTTGAATTATACTTGGCAGTGAAAGGTGAGGAAGAGCTTATATTTGTAAAGTTCAGGAGAAAAAGTCAGAGAAACATTAAGAACAACCGGATTCCTGGCATGAGTCCCTGAATTGGTGTGGAAACTTTTACTGAGAAGGAACACAATGGAGAGGGACTAAATTAAGATGCAAGTTGAAGTTACTAATGTACTTTTGGATTCCAGGTGCTTGTATTATATTCAAACTAGAATGCTCAACACGCAGCAGGGAGTGCATAAGAACATTTTTAGCTGAAAACAGCATTCTTGGAGCTAAGTTTTAGAAGGGATACTTGTTCCTTGTTATCAGTGGATTTATAAAGATAGGATTTCCATGCTGAAGAAGAAAAGCATATATAAAGGGATCTTTTCAGGGCCTCTTCACTTCCTCCTAAACTCTGGAACAGAATAACTGAGCTATCTTACAGAAAAACATGGAGCCTTCTGAGCCTGCTTGGCAATAGGCTTGCTGGTCTGTTCTTGTCAGAGCTCACATGTCTCCAGGACACAAATGTTCTCTTCATTCATACTATTTTCTAACAGCCAGCATTTGTCTGAATGTTGACTTGTGAGTGGAGGAATAATGATGTCCACATCGGAGACTCAAGACCTCAATCATGCCACAAATGTGAGCCAAGGTCTCCAAATAGTGGTCAGTAAATTAGGGATTTTGATAGAGACCAATCATTTTCCTCTGCTTATTGTTTTGTTTTTCCTAAGTTTAAGAGTCAGAGTAATGATGGCATTCATTGTGTCTATAGATAAAAAATTAATAATAAGTTTTATAGTTTTTTGTGTAATGACTTGGTGTGAGGGCTATTCGATATTTACTCATGCTCATACTAGTATTAAATGGTCTAATTTTGAATCAAATCTAGTTAGTGGTTTATTTAAATGACATTTACTTTATTTTTCATTATGAATTTCTATGTATGTCTCTGTGAGAATATGGCACACGTGCAGGTAGATTTCAAGTTCAGAATAGGGCATTGGTTGCCCTGGATCTGGAGTTAGAAGCAACTGTAAGCTACCTTATGGGTATGCTGAGAACTTGAATGTGGGTTTCCTGGAATAATAGCAACTGCTCTGAATCAACAAGAACTTTTTATAGTCCCAGTTTTTATTTTTTTGAATTGTTTCTTTGAACTACTATCTTACAGTACACCACAGTAGTGATTCTAAAGAGAGAGAGCTTGAAAATATCATTTTGAGTGAGGTGGCCCAGACCCAGAAAGACAATTATCACATGTACTCACTCATAAGTGGTTTTTAAACATAAAACAAAGAAAATCACAAATCACAATCCCAGAGAACCTAGACAACAATGAAGACACTAAGAGAGACATACATAGATCTAATCTACGTGGGAAGTAGAAAAAGACAAGATCTTCTGAGTAAATTGGGAGCATGGGGACCTTGGGAGAGAGTTGAAGGGGAGGGGAGAGGCAAGGAGGGGAGCAGAGAAAAGTGTAGAGCTCAATAAAATCAATAAAAGGAAAGAGTAGAAGTACTAAAATCTCTTTCCCAATGATGTTTAGGTAAACTGATTAGCAGAAAAGTTACCTTGGGTGTTTTTTGTTACTGTATGAGCTAACTATAAATTACATGAAGAGTTGAAGAAAATAATTTCAGATATCTGTGCAATCACAGCAAACCTTGACTGTGAGAGGTGTGTGGTAGACTATGTGATGTTTGCCGTGCCCCACTGTCCGTACCTCCAGCACAGGTCACTTTCTGTCCTGAATATCTCTGTAGAGCAATTTGACCTCAAGGAGCTGGTGGATCTCACCATTCAGAAGCACAAGATGTTGATAGTTAAAGAGATTTTCTCTGATGATTAAGCCTAAATCCTATAGAATTAAAGCTAAAAGCAATTAAACAGAGCAAGTTCTGTGAAATAGCTTTCATTAATACAAAGAATGTTGAAGTAGAAAAGAGCGTATATACTTTAGTCAAATTATTTTCTTCTTTAAACCTGCATTGCCTTGAAAACCTTTCGTTGGTGGTGACACTGGGACTTGAACCCAGGTCCTCTAGAATGTTAGAAAAACATACTATCTTCTAGCCACTTTCTTAGCTGACTTTTGGTCTAGTACACATGTTAATCTGCGTACATCAGAGTTGCTCTCTTGTGCTGGAAATGCAAGTGCGATTTCGACACTCCCTGCTGCTGTAGTTGTTCCTGTTCAGCTGTTCAGTGGTGATCTCTAAGGGCAAAGCCACCAAGGTCCATTCAGGAGTGAATTGTGGACTTAGGAGGCAAAAAAAGTGTGATTACATTATATTAGTGAATCATGGAGCCACTGAAGACTTGATTCTGTAGTCCATATATCTGGGTCAGAGTAGGGTGTCTGGCAAGGGTTGTGTGGGTGCCTTTGTGATTTAACTCTTTTTCTGGCCCTGCACAGTTCATCTGTTCTTTTTGTTCTACAGTTTGCTATTTTGTAAATTGAGAACTGTACTTGAAATTCTCTTCTAGGGTGGTGGTTGCCAATGGTAGTGGGGGCAAGTTATAATGGTGCTGGTTACATTGTAAAAATATACCTTTGTTAGAGATTACTATTACTGTCAAGGTTACATTATAATTGATTACATATTTTTTTTACATTACTTTGAAATGTTCAAAGCTTGTTTTATTTTCACTACATTAGGACCAGGAGAGAAATCAAAAAGCAAAACTCAAGTGCTTTTATAGGAACATTGACTCTGTTGGCAGGCAGGATTTAAAAACATTGAACAAAGGAGAAAAACATACTAGCAACATGAACAGACCTTTCCAGACAGGCGAGAAGGACAGCCAGACACAAACAGGATCAGAAACAGGATTGGTGATGGGTTTGGGACAATGAACATTAGCCAACAAATTTACTGAGACAAGAGACGCAAGGTCTTTCTTTGCGGTAGCTTTCACTATACCCTGAAATGAAGAACTGGGAAATAAACACAACAAAACACAGGGGCCTTCTTCCAGCCCGAAGGAGTTCCGTTCCCCAGGCAGTGTTAAGTCCTTGGCTCTCACGCAATTTCAAGAGACTCAAGAGGAAACTGAAGTCAGCTTTGCTCATGGATATGGCACCCAGAGCCCCAGCTGAGACTTGAACAGCTAAAGGACCCTCACAGGAAAGGTACCCTAACGAGTTTCCCAGAGTCACAAATCCTCCATGTCATTTGGTGGAGAGTCAGACACCTATACAGGAATTAATGAACAAAGACAAAATTCATGGTGGCAGGCAAGGTCAGAGGCCAAGTAGCAGAAACTAGCTGTAGCGTTATGGGGCTGAATAAAACACTATGCTAATCACGGGAGTACCGAAGCAGAAGCACCGAGAGTCCGATGTTACTGGACCAATGTCAACTGCGATCACAGAGTTCGGTGTTCCTGGTGGACCAAACTCTGCGATCCAGACTGTGCTCCCTGCAGTGTTTCATCGACTCAGGTCTTAACTTGAAGATAGGGCACTCTTGAAAACGAATTGATCTGGGTGGTAGTGGTGCATGCTTTTAATCCCAGCAGTGGCAGGCAAAAGCAGGTGGCTTTTAATAAAAAAAAAAAAAAGAAAGAAAGAAAAGAAAAGATAAAAGAAAAGAAAAAGAATTGCAATTTATGCCCCAACAATGCTTAAGGATGTATGGGCACCCCGTATATGGAGGTTCTGTTGAAAAGTCCATAGTGGGTTCCGTGGTCTAAGTTGATGAAGACAACTGACCAGGTCACTTCCTCAAGAGGGCACCAGGTCCGATTACAGATGATTGTGAGTGGGGCAGTTCAACAGATCTGCTATATCTCATTTCCTTCCTTCTTTCCTTCCTTCCTTCCTTCCTTCCTTCCTTCCTTCCTTCCTTCCTTCCTTCCTTCCTTCCTTCCTTCCTTCCTTCCGGTTTCATTTCCTTTAGTCGTGATGAAAACACCCAAACAAAAGCAACTTAAAGGGTTCATTAGGCTTACAACTTCAGGTTATAGTCAATTATGGCGAGAAAGTCAAGCCCAGAACTTGAAGCACCTTGTCACAGCCACAGGCGAGAGCAGAGACAGAAATGAATGCCTCTACTAGTGTTCATCTTGCTTTTTCTACTGTT